ACAACCACCATTATTTCTCACATTGATCATGGTAACAGTGTGCTAGCTGGGCTCTTCTCTCAAAAGAGCTGCCACTGTTATCTTTTCAAAATCCCACCATGTGTTTTACCTGTTCAAACTGTCTAATGGCCTTGCTTAGAATTAAAAGCCAAAGTCTTTAAATGTCTTATAAAATCCTACTCCACCTTAACCTCATCAATACTCTCCTCTTCTAGCTTACACTGCACCAGCCATACTGATCTCTGCTATTCCTTAAGCAACCTATTTCATGGCCTTTCATTGATGTTGAAAGTAGGTATATGCAGAATGCCTTCTGTTTATCTTCTCAGTGAGGGCTTCCCTGATACCCTACTTCTGGTTGCCTCAATCCCCTTTCTCAGGTAATTTTTCTACATAGCATCTATTACTATTTATTACTTATTCAGTTAACTAAAGAAAATTGAGTATAATGTATATATAGTAAAATGTACAAATCTTAAATGTGCAACCCAAAATTTTACATGTATAATATACATACGTATATACACATCTTTGTAACCACTACAAACCAATATACATATTTTCAAAATCCAAGAGAGGTGCTTCATGAGCCTCCCAGCTAATAAAACCCTTCCAGGGGTAACTGCTATTCTCACTTCTATCAGTATAGATTGGTATTTTGCCTGTTACTGAACTTTACTTCCATGGAATGCCTGCTATGTATTCTGATGTACTCAATTATTTGTTTATAATCTGTCTTGCCCAACAGAATGCAAGCTTCATGAGAGTTTGGTTTTATCTGCCTCATTCACTGCTGTATCCATGGTGTCTATAAACAGGACTTGCAACATAGAAGGTGCTCAATAAATATTCACTGAATGAATAATCAAAATAACATCATTAGAAGAGGCTTTCCTCTTCTTGAAACTTTGACGGGCTATTCTATTTTTCAGTAGAATTATCTTCATCATTATTACAAATACCTATGGAAAAAAGATATTCACAATGAAGCCTAAAACTTGGGTAGACTGTCCATTCTATCAGTGATTGAATAAGGAATATTAGAATCTATCACTTTCTTTTTTGCTCTGTGAAAGACAGTGTTAAGAGAATAAAAGGGCAAACCAAAGAGTGGGAAAAAAATATTTGCAAATCACATATCTATCAAAAAAGTGTATCTAGGGGCACCTGGGTGGCTCAGTTGGTTAAGTCGTCTGCCTTCAGCTCAAGTCATGATCCCAGGGTCCTGGGATCGAGCCCTGTGTGAGCCTGCTTCTCCTTCTCCTCCCTGCTTGTGCTCTCTCTCTCTCAAATAAATAATAAAATCTTAAAAAAAAAAAAAGTGTATCTAGAATATATAAAGAGTTCTTAAAAAAAAGAGCAAAAAAAGAATGCAATTATAATGCGCAAAACATTTGAATAGACAGTCATCAGAGAAAATACGATGCTCAACATCATTAGTCATTAGAGAAATGCAAAGTAAATGTAAATCCGTGATGAGATAAAACACACCTATTAGAAAAGCTTAAAAAGAAACAAAACAAAATGGACAGCACCACATGCCAAAAAGGATGTGAATGACTGGAACTTGCAAATATTGCCAGTAGGGATACAAAGTGGTTCAGACACTCTGGAAAACAATTTGGCAGTTTCATATAAAGCTAAATATACACTTACCATGTGACCCAGCAATCCCACTCTGGGGTTTTACCCTACAGATATGAGAACTTAAATCCACACAAAAACGTGTAAGTGAATTTTTTGCCGTAGTCAAAACAAAATGACCAGAAACAATCCAGATGTTCTTCAATGGGTGAATGAATAAACAAAAAAAGGAATGAACTATTGAAACACACAATAACTTGGATAAATTTCAAATGTATTATTGTAAAAAGCCAGTCTCAGAAGGTTACATAACATAGGATTCCATTTATGAGACATTTTGGAAAGGACAAAACTACAGAGTCAAAGAACAGACCAGTGACTGCCAGGGATTGGTGGTGGTGGGCGGGGGGAAGCAGAAGGTTAGATTACAAAGGAGTAGCACGCAAGATTTTATGGGGTAATGAACTGTCCTTATTCTGACTGTGGTGGTGGTTACATGAATCTACACATGTGCTAAAAATTACACAACTGAACACACACACACACCAAAAAAAAAACTATGTTATTTTTTTAAAAGATTTTATTTATTTGAGAGAGAGAGAATGAGAGAGAGAACGAGCACATAAGAGGGGGGAGGGTCAGACAGAGAAGCAGAATCCCTGCTGAGCAGGGAGCCCGATGCAGGACTAGATCCTGACACTTCAGGATCATGACCTGAGCAGAAGGTGGTCGCTAAACCTACTGAGCCACCCAGGCGCCCCCACTATGTTATTTTAAAAAACAAAATATCCCCCTGCTCTCTCACCCCAAATCTTTCTCTCCTTTTTATTCTGAAGTTTTCATTCTTTTTTTCTTACATTTCCCTTTTCCCTTATTCATATAATCTCCTAGGCATACAAAATGTTCGTATTTTCTCAAGTATGCCATGTTTTCTCTTGATTTCAGGTCTTTATTCATGCTGATGGTCCACAGTGAAAACCACTCTCTTGGCTAATTCTTATTCATTCTTCTGGCTTCAGTAAATTACTTCTTCTCAGAAGCCTTCCCTACCCTTTTCTCCCAGGCTGTATTAGATATTCTGTCATATAATCCCATAGCATTCTGCACTTTCCCTTCAGGACTTCACATATTTAATTGTCAAGACATGCTCCATTTCTTTCTCCCCCACCATCCTGCAAGCTCCATGAGGGCAAAGATAATTGATGTTTTGCTCAACTAAGTAATCCTTAGCACCAACACTATGCAAGGGACCTATCAGACCCACCTCAATGAATGCTCTAAAACCTATTTGTATTTTGCAGATTGCTATAAATAACTTGTTCTACTCTCTGACTTTTTCAATCTACATTTTGAAGGCAGAGAGAAAACATCTTACCTCGTTTTTCCAAATAAAATATTATTTCAAACACACTTTTGCTTGTGACAGTGAGTTAAAACTTAAGTATTCTCTTTATGTATCTTCTCCCCTCCACTTTTTTTTCCTTTTTGTTCAGCATGTTGTAAAATTCCCCTACACATTCACTGAACACCTGCATGTTTTCTTCTTGAGTTCTCTGTATCACTCAACAGAAACATCCTTCCCTGGCATTTTTTATCAGTACAAATACATTTCTTTTTTTTTTTTTTTTAAGATTTCATTTATTCATTTGAGAGAGAATGAGATAGAGAGAGCATGAGAGGGGGGAGGGTCAGAGGGAGAAGCAGACTCCCTGCCGAGCAGGGAGCCCGATGAGGGACTCGATCCCGGGACTCCAGGATCATGACCTGAGCCGAAGGCAGTTGCCCAACCAACTGAGCCACCCAGGCGCCCAGTACAAATACATTTCTAAATAACTTTGACCACTTAAAATTTAAATTAATGTGTTACTCTACATTTATGGCTTTTTTAGAAAGGAGTTTATAATCTAATAATTTAAACAATAAAAAAAAAATCCTACCTTAATCAAATCAATAAATAACAATATGGTTAATTATGTCTGAGACCCAGCATGTCAATTAAATTAAAAAAGGAAAGTCTTAACACTCTGTATTTCATTGATAGCAGTCACTGAGATCAGATACCAATGTACACTACAAAACTGCTAACGACTAAAATGACTGAATTTAGGGGCCTTTTTATTGTTAACCATAGTTTACTTCACATATGTAAAGTTCCATTTTTTAAACTTTATTATGATAAAAAACAAAATCTAGTTGCACAAATATTGACCACTCTGTTATATTTTGGAGAATCATGTTAAAATATAACAACCCCCAAATAGGAATAGAGAGGGATGGGGCACATTTTAAAGAAAACAGAAAGTTCAAGAGAGCCTTACCTACACATTTTAAATGGAATAGACAAATAGATTTCCAAGTTACAAGCACTCAGAATTACCAGATATAGTCATGTGAGGAAAGCAAGTCATTTGGTGTTTTAAAGGAGAGACTGACATAAGCTTTGTGAAATAAAAGAACTAACACTCCTCTCTAGAAGAACATGGCCAAGTGAGGCCCTCAACAATAAAACTACTATATGGAACAGAACTTTGAATGTGTATATTAAAATAAATTCAAAATATCTATCTAAGGAAAACTTAACTCCCTTTTAGGCTGTTACCCTTATTAGGCTTGGCAATTTGTCCCAAGAGAATATAAAACCTATCACAAACTCATCCAGTGGTTACCTATAATCACTGGTTATGTAGAAAAGCTGAAGTTATGTAGAAAACTGGTTATGTAGAAAAGCTGTACTCCAGGTAATTCTAAAGGACTATAACCTTTTGATAAAGAGATCATGAGAAGGAATCCAGGTAGAGACATACAAATGAAAGATAGCCACTTCAAATATGCCTAGAGCAGGGGAAAAGGGTTTTTTGGAAGCAGCAACGTCCGACACAATGAAAAAGTTGTTACAGAGTGTTGTGTAGAAGAAGCCAATGACTATAAATTCCATCTCAATAAAGGGATTTGTGGCACAGAAGAAACACAATCAACGTACGATAATATACTTCAGTCTATGCTTTATAAATAAAAATTTATAATGATGTCACTAAATGATGAAAACAAGTAACACAAGCGTCACTGAGGTGAAAGCATCTTCTATAATAATGATGAGGAATGCCAAAAACCCTACTTTTCCTGTATAGTTTTTATTATCTCTTATGGTCTGCAAAAATTATCTTTATAACATAGAACACTAGCTTGAGGAAAAATAACACAAAAAATCCACTTCAACCATTCTTCTCTTCAGGTATTAAATCTTAAGTGATTGTGAAAATACTTCTATTCATAGGAAATTTTCAGTGCAACTATGTTGGCAGCACTCACTAGTTATTCCATTTGTTGCTTAATCCTAACAGGGCATTAAATAAAAACTTTGGTACTGAGTAAATGGAGCCTAACTCAACAACATTAAATTAGTTCTCTTCACTTACCCTTGCATAGTGGAATTCAACTCCATAGAGTTCTAAGGTACGTGCTGTGTTCAGGTAATTAAATTCTGCTTCTGCAGGAGATAAACCTCTGTAAAGACATTATGTTAAAAATTATACCAATCACAAATATGGCCAAATTAGAAAAAAAGCTTATTTACCTGGAAATATTTCAGCATTCTAGCTGAACCTTTTATAATACACCATGCATGACTACTCCTCTTAGTTCTGTACAGTAATATCTAACTTACCTGGAAGGTACATTTTCAGGAACACAAATCATTATTTTGTAGAATATTTTATTTTCTAGAAATACAAGAACGCACCAGGGGATGTGGAGAAAAAGGAACCCTTGTGCACTGCTGGTGGGAATGCAAACTGGTGTAGCCATTGTGGGAAATAGTATGGAGGTTCCTCCCAAAATTAAAAATACCATATGATCTAGTAATTCCACTACTGGGTATTCACCCAAAGAAAATGAAAACATTCTTTTTTTTTTTTTTTTAAAGATTTTATTTATTTATTTGAGACAGAGAGAATGAGAGAGAGCAAGCACATGAGAGGGGGGAGGGTCAGAGGGAGAAGCAGGCTCCCTGCCGAGCAGGGAGCCTGATGCGGGACTTGATCCCGGGACTCCAGGATCATGACCTGAGCCGAAGGCAGTCGCTTAACCAACTGAGCCACCCAGGTGCCCCGAAAATGAAAACATTCTTTCAAAAAAATATATGCACCCCTATCTTTATTGCAGCATTATTTATAACAGCCAAGATAAGGAAGCAAGTCAGCATCCATTGATAGATGAATGAATACAACATGGTTTTCAGCCATAAAAAAGAATGAGATCTTGCCATTTGTGACAAAATGGATGGACCTAGAGGTTATTATACTGAGTGAAATCAGTAAGACTAAGAAAGACAAACACCATATGATTTCACTTATATGTGGAATCTAAAAAAATTAAGAAACAAAAAGCAGAAAACGATCCATAAACACAGAGAACAAACTGATGGTTGCCAACGGGGATGGGCAAAATGATGTGAAAGGAGTAGGAGATACAGGCTTCCAGTTATAGAATGAGTTAATAGTGAGGAATCATTAGGCACAGCATAGGGTACATAGTCAATGGTATTGTAATAGCGTTGTATGGTAACAGATGGCAGCTATATTTGTGAGTGTAGCATAAGGAACAGACTTCCCCAATTACTACGTTATACACCTGAAACTAATGTAACTGTGTGGCAACTATATTTTAAAAAATGGATGAAGTTTTAAAAGTCCCTAGCTGTTCTTATGGCTGACAAAGTCATTTACTCTCTGACAACTTTTTAAAAGAAGTGTTTTTCAAAATTTTCAAAATTTGGTCCATATACTGTATCTGCATTTAAATCACACAGGTGCTTCTGAAACATGCAAACTTTGAGACAACTTCCAAAGCATGCTTCTTAGAGTATGGTGTACATACAGTCAGGTGTTGATTCATAACAAGTACAGAAACTGAGAGAGTCAAAGTCTTTTATATTTCATAGCATTTTGGCAGAGTAATTTCAAGTCTATTGAATCTAATAAGAGAAACAAAGACTTGTAATTTTTTACGTCTTTATTTCTCCATTCTACTTTCCTAGTAATTCACTTTTATTATATCTTTCAGAAGTTTCATTCCATGACAGATTGGGGAATAACTGGTCTTTCATCACAGATAGTTTCAGAAGTACTGCTGTATACATCTGATAGAGAAGGGATAACATCCAAATTGTTTATATTTAAGAAATGTGCCAGGTGATTCTTATGAACACAAGTTTGAGAACTACTACTCTAGCAAAGGCTTTCAAAACAGATTTACTCCTATATTATATGTGCTTCTAAAAACCTTTGTTACCTGATATTATCTGACGATAGCAGAGCAAAAACAGCAAGTTACAAAAGCAAAGATATCAACCTTTCACTCACTAATGATACCAGAAAAGGAAGCCAAGAGCCTGCCAATGCACAATCATAAAAATGGGATTCCTAAAAAAAGCACATATACCTCAATTTTCTATAAAATTCAATTAAGTTAAATAAATATTCTACCTCCCCACCCCACCCCCTACTCCTCAGTTAAACTGGATGATTCTATTTTTTCTTTGTTTAAAGATCTGAGGATCATTTCTTTAAACCAAATACAAACATATAATCAATACCTTGTCAAATTTTTTCCTTACAGAGGAGATTTTTTCCATTACTGGCAATTTTTTTAAAAAAATCTGGTTTATCTTTAAACGCTTGATTTGGATATGCTATGTGTAAAACTTTTATTACACATGGCATTTTTACTGTTAGACCAAAATAGCCCCCTCACCAGCATTAGGCCAGTCTATTGAAATTCTCATTTTATTAGTCTTATTTTATATCAGAGGTCAGCAAACTTTTACTGAAAAGAGCTAGACAGCTTTGCGCAGTGGCAGTATCATAGCCAATGAGGTTTATCCGAGGCGCGATTATTGCTAACTGAAAAGAGCTAGATAGTAAATACTTTAGGCTTTTAGGTCACATGGTCTCTGCTACAACTACTCAACTCTGCTGTTATCTGAAAGCAGTCACAGACATGAGTACAAAAAGGCAATCTATGCTCCGTTAAGTGTTCATCTATGGACACCAAACTGGAATTTCTCAAAATTTCACATGCCACAAAATGTTATTCTTCTTTTTGTATTTTTCTCAAACATTTAAAATGTACAGACCATTCTTAGCCCATGGGCCATACAAAATAGGCAGTGGGCCAGTTTGCCAACCTGTTTTAGATACATGGGTCATTACCAAATGAAATAAGTTTCCTTACTATTAAGAGCTAATATTTCTTTAGTGCTTACCATGTGCTGGGCACTGTTCTGAGTACTTTGTATATAAACTCACTTAATCCTTACATTAACTCCAGAGGTAGATACTTTTATTATCCCCAATTTACATATAATGAAACAGAGAAGCAAAGTTAGAAAGCAATTTGGCCAAGATTATAAGAGTGTTAAGTTGTCTTAACCAGAATTTCAGACCAGGCAGTCTGGTTCTCTAGTTCAAACTTTTTCTTAGCCAAAAACAATACTGCCTTAGTTCCACTGTTGAGCATTTTGAATTGCATGTTAAAGGAAAAAGTAAACCAATAAATAATATTATTTTCTATTCAAAGCAATAAATCTCTTCTTGAAACAAATTATGTCACAAAAAAATTAAGACTCACAAAATATCAAAGTTGAATATTGTTATGAATGAAAAAAATGCTACTTTTTAAAGGACTTTTAAAAATTAATTTATATTACATAAGGTTCCTTTTCTCCTCTTGGCTCATTACCAAATGATTCATTTCACATAGCTAAAAACTAAGAAAGAATTGCTAAGTAGATTGATCTGTAACAACTGATCTGTGAACATACTATTAATATTCTAAAATTCCTTCTTAAAGAACTGTCAACTTTACATAATGGCAAATATTTTCCTTCCTTTCTTTCTCTCTCTCTCCCTCCCTCCCTCCCACCCCCACTCCCCTCCTTCCCTTCCTCCCTCCCCCTTGCCCTCTCTCTTTCCTTCAGTTCACTCCATGTCCAGCATGGGGTCCAACATGGGGCCTGGACTCACAACCCTGGGATCAAGACCTGAGCTGAGATCGAGAGTTAGAGGTTTAACCAAACGAGTCACCCAGGCGCCCCAATAGCAAATTTCCATTTACATACAGTTTTATGGTTCTCACTAGAAATGAAGGAAAGCCTCATATATTCTATGAAATTAGCTATTAATTTTTTTTAGTATAGACAACCCACATTTCCTTACATCAATTCTACTATTTTACATAACAGTAACTGTATTAAGTAAATATAACAATCACATTAGAAATAATTTAAAACATTTCTCTAGAAAAGATAACATTAAGAAGTTAATGCAAAAGCATAAAAGTAAATAAATCCTTACGTATGTTGCTGATGTAATTTTGCAATTTCTTTTTCAAAATCTTGAGGTTGATTAGGAATGAAAGAATAATCTGAGAGGTAGCCTGGCAAGTTTTCTGACTGATTGTAGTCTCCAAGTTCAGCTATTACATGGAAGGAAAGTAGTCACAATTTAATAAACACGTTCTGTAATTCTGATAGCCAAATCAGCAATGTCATGAATTCATTACTTCTGGAAGTAAAATATTTAACTGCTAGCTACCATGTAAGCAAGCTATTACAACACACTTAACATTCTTCTAGGTTTCAAACAACTTCAGAAAAACTTTTTTTCAGAAATCTAAGTAATTGCTAACTAACTGAACGTTACATTATATTTCCTTTGCAATCACTTTTTTCTGTATAGTAACGTATGTCTAAAGAACTCCTGCATTAAAGGCACTGTACTATCAACACAGACCATGCAATCACATGCTATGTGACTCAGGAGTGGGTTGATACTTACACTGAACAGCAAATGAAGCCAAAAGGGCAGCAGTATTATAAGGACAGGGCAATCTAATAAAACAAAACAGAAAATACATAACCCAAGGTTAAATACAATAATTTCAAAAGCACTGTAACTTTTGTAATACTATACACATATGAAGTTTCCATGACTTACATTTTCACTATAAGTAAAGAATTTATCTGATGAAAAAAAATTCATGCTGCATGTAACCATCTTTCAATAAATAATTCATTTGCAATGATCATGAGTTACTTAAATAATACACAACTAAAAGTACTTTTAAAGCCCATTATTAAAAATTTAAAATAGCCCACCTTCCAGTAAGAATGTCTTGTTTAATTTGCAAAAAATACTGGTACCTTAAAAAAAAGAGCAAGAGATAACATTTAGCATTTACTGAAATTACAACATTTAGGGTTTAAAAATTGTATACTTATATTAACTAATAAAATTGAAATATTTAAATATTTGCTTTTATAATCTACATATTAGCACATAAAGATATTTTTAAATAAGCTTTCATACATTCATGAATCCCAATCTTTAAAATCCTTTGACAAATGAAATTCTGTACTTCAAATAACTTGTTTCCACTAGCTTCTATTATAAAAACTTTAAGAGTTACGTGACCGAGGGAGATTAGGGAGAATATTCTAAATATTGGTGTTTGTAGAAATTAGAACTGGGAAACACAGAAAACTTGAGTCAGAGACATAGAAGAGCTGACAGTAGCAATGCACTAGAGATCAAGTGGAGAAGTCATCCCTTCTGCTGAGACAGAAAGCCAGCTGCAAAGACAGGCCTATGGTCATCTCATCATTACACTGTCGGAAGCTGCTAAATGTAGAAAAGCACCTTTCCATTTTCATTTGAGTTAAGAAAGCTCTCTTTAGTCAGAAACAAAACAAAACAAAAAACTTAAGCTGCCTTCCCTACTATCAGAATTGCCAAGTACCCAACTTCCTTTAAAACCAACAAAAATATAAATTTCTATTAAAAAGAATGCTGAGATTGCTTATAAGATGGCATTGTCTTTCTGTCCCCGCTACTGAGGTTAAGTCATTCCCTCAGAGATGTGTCAATGCTTGCAACAAGTCACCTGTGATGCGTAACGTTGGCAGAAGACCAAATTTTGTGGCTTTAAATGTTTAAACAGGGAATTTTAAGACTTTATTTTACCCCACTGAAAAAAGCATACACACTCCAAGAATCAAAAATCGTGTCTAACAGTTTTAGTTTTCTGGCTGATTAAAATCATTAAAGAGCTCCATGACAATATTCAAATTACCAAAAAACATAATTAAGGCTTTCAGAGAATCAGATATTCGCTAAAACTTTTTTTAAAAGTTGATACAAATATTTGCCTTCACATATTAATGAAGTACATAAACTCCCAGTGAGAACTAATATGTAATATTGTAAATATTACCTACTTATTCAGTGTAAGACAATATATTTCTACCTAGCTTCTTGGTTTCATAATTAAAAGTTAAAGGTTCCTGGTAGGAACCAATCTTTAGTTAAGACTGAAAAGGCATGTATATTCTTGACATAATATTGTAAATCTTACACAAATAATACCTATGCCTGCTGAATTTTATTTATATACCACCCAGTAAGGACTGACAGAGTGGAAACCAGAATTCAAGTCCTAAGCTAAACCAGCTGGTGCTCTTTAGCAAATTACTTAAAATTTGGCTGAGCCTTAATTTCTGTATTTGTAAAAAAGGAAGTAATATCACTTGTCTAGTATATGTATCCCACAGGCCCTAAATAAGGTGATAAAACCCCAATTTTTAAAGACAATTAAGACTTTTAAGATAGATTAATAATTGAGGTAAATACAGAAATGACGTGTTTAATAATAATTGTAAAAATAATACAGCTTTTCTAATCCAGACAAATACCAATACCATGAGCACTTATTATGTATTGAGTATACCTAAGCATAAAAAAGGCACCAAAGAAATGTCATCTGTAGTGTCATGACTCCTGAGAAAACTCCACTTCTAAGGATGCCAGCACCTGCTAATACCAAATGACCTGTAGGCTCTACAGGTCCTTTTTCCTACGACTTATCTAGAATGGAATCTCAAGGTAAGGAGGTGTGGCATGTTTCCTGTTTCATGGGTTTAAACTAGTCCTTAAAATTTAGCAACTGTAGCTGAAGGGGTCATATTATTATCATGACCACTGCATTAACGCTACCCAAGTACTAAAGTTTTAAAGGGGTATTTCTTTACCCCTGGCTGCATATTAGAATCACCTGGGAAGCTTTTAATAATGTCTATGCACAGGTCCCATCTGAGACCTAATTAAATCAGAATATCTCAGGGGTATGACAAAGGCATCAGCATGTTTTAAAGTTCCACTAAGTGATTCTAAGTTGTAGTGAGGGTAGAGATGCACTGATATACTCTATGGTAATATAATGAAAACTAGCTACTTAACTCATTTTACCAAATACCACCAGTTACAAGATTCTAGGACATTCTATTATAAAGGACTCTTGAAAGAATACATTATTTTTAGTGAAAAAAAGATAATCCTCTAGACAACAGACTGAACACAAAGTAACTGCTTGATTACTACCAAACTTGGCTTTACCTTCTACTTCAGGAAGATATTACGACTTAATTATCCTTGAGATACATTTATTCCATGATTATGTTTTAAACACAGGCTATAAAAGAATCAACACATTCAAGCTCCATTAAGAAATTCAAAGACATTATTTTGAGTGAAGTAAATTATGACTATGGCTGCAAATGACAATATTTTAATTGCTATGCTAACAAACCTTTCATAAATATTAAAAACATTAGAAATCCAATTTTAAATTATTGGTCTTTTAATTACAAATATTTCTTATACATTTAAGACTCTGATTACATAAAATATGTATTATGGAATACTTTGCTACTTTATTTCAGGTTACATTTACCAGCAATAGTAAAATGCACTTAAAAATGTTTTATAATTCACAATTTTCATTAATTCAGAGTAGTTTCCTTGAAGTTAAGCCAAAATTAGGAAAAGTTTTACAATACTAAGAATTATTTATTAAAATAAAAGATTTTGTTAATTATTTAACAACAACAAAACTTGACTGATTAAGAGCTACCATATTAAACTGAAGGTTATTCATATAACACAACTTTGCTTTTCAACATAAATTACCTTGGAAATATTATTAGTTTTGAATGTTAGGACTGCCTAATCCAGGGCCTACATTCCTAAATTCTTTTAGAAAAAAGGTAACACCTTGCCCTCAACAAACACACAGAAAAGGACTCTCAAGAATGTCAATCTAACTCTACTTACTTGGTCTACTGAAAACCCTATTTTATAAACACCTGAGAATTGGCAGATACAGCTAAATATCTTTAATTTATTTTTTTGTTGCTCCACATCACCACAGTATTCTAAACAATGGCCAACATGGTAACATCTCACAGCCCATCTACAGGCAGCTTTAGGTACAAATTGCTAATTTGGCATCTACCTTTTAGAGTAATTCTGAATATAATCCCTGACCTATATTCTTATAGCTGAGACGTTTATGGAAGGTCTTACATGCTAATGTTTTCTTTAGTCTTTAAAAAAAAAAAACAACTAATTACTAATTCTATCTTTCAAGTAATACACAAGATTCAAGTACAGATACCACACTATGATTATTCCCATTTCTACCTTAAACAGCTCACGTAATTTTCATACACTTTCAAAATACTCACCTGGGTCATTCTTCTGTACACTTTGTCAAGTAGAAATGACAACAAAATTAGATCATGACTCAAGAGCAGACTTAAAATGGCCAATGAAGTGGGCACTTAAAGATCTAAGTGTGCTAGCGCACTCCCTGCCAACATCCTTTATAAAAAGGTATCTGTTCACATGAAACTAACACAATGTATGTTAATTACACTTTTAAGGAAAACGGTAGGGATGGAGGAAAAAAATAAAAGACTTTTAATCTTAGCAAAAGGGAACTACAGATTCTATTTTCAGAGGGAAAAAAAAAGGTACCTGTTGACCATTACTCCTGCACATAATGGTTATATATTTTTCTAAATTCTATGTTCTCCTCAATGGAAATAAAAAATATATATAGAATACACTTTTACATTAAAAAAAAGCAGACACAATTCTCACTATGCAGCATCACTTGGATACAATTATAATATCATCTGATTACCTCAATTAGTTACAGCAGTACTTCTTAACCATTTTTTATAAGTAGAAAAATCTAATTTCATATGGTTCAGGAGGCTGCTTGTGGCTGGATGGGGTGGTCTTGGGGTTCCAATCTCCTAAAGCCCTCCCAGCCATCCAAGACGGGAGGAAACATGAAAGATCTATAACCCATTCTGTGTCACGGCTGGGATCTCAGAATTACACACCATGACAATCTATATCTGCCTAAATAATTTCAAAATTTCATAATCGTTCTGACAGTATTTTCAGGAAAAATATGCTCCATAAACCCACCTTGTGTATTCTTCTTGTAACTTGTTGGGGTCACTTACAAAAAATTTGACTCTGAAGTTCAAACTGTAAGGAGATCCTCCTAGAATTAATAAAAGCAGTTCTAATTAATCAGATTATATTAATCCTTTATCTTTATAAAGTATACTTGTAAAATGTCAAGTAAATATGTATGCTCACTCTTCAGCTGCTTCCTTATTGGTTTGTTTGGATCCAGCCACCTCTGAAAAATAAATAAATAAGACTGATTTCTTTTTCCTTGAGGAACTAATGTATCAATTCTTGCAAATCTGTAACATTTGAAGATCAATGCTAAAAACTGCATTTTGAAAACAGTCTAGGAGGGGCGCCTGGGTGGCTCAGTCGTTAAGCGTCTGCCTTCCACTCAGGTCATGGTCCCAGAGTCCTGGGATCGAGCCCCACATCGGGCGCCCTGCTCCGCAGGAAGCCTGCTTCTCCCTCTCCCACTCCCCCTGCTTACGTTCCTTCTCTCGCTTTGTCTCTCTCTGTCAAATAAATAAATAAAATCTTAAAAAAAAAAAAAAAAACAGTCTAGGAAAAAATAATCAATTTACAGATATTCATATCAAGTATAACAAAATTATACTAGAAAGTACTGAATGTATTTGTGGTAGCTCTAAGTTTTTTATCTGAATTTCCCATGAAATTATATAGTATGCAATAACCTCTATTCTAAAAAGAAAAATGCTTAATAATAGCAATCTGAAGTTATTTCTGTTAATTTAACTATATTATGTAACAGTGTGGCAAGTTTTTAAAATTTTTGGTATCTTTCATAAAAATCTAGTTGACCTTATACTCTCATTCAGACAAAATCTAACTACACATCATGAAAATATACTCTTGAGAAAAAAATTCTTTTCTTTTTTTTTAAAAAGTAGGCTCCATACCAGCACGGAGCCCAATGCAGGGCTTGAACTCACTTAAGACCTAAGCTGAGATCAAGAGTCACACATTCAACCAAGTAAGCCACCCAGGCACCCCAACTCTTAGAAAAACTTTCTAACTTCTACCGTATTCCTTCAAAAATAAAACTATCTTCCCCTGCCCCCGCCAAAAAACCCCACACTGATTTTGTAAGAGATAATGTTTAGTTTGGGGAAGGACTGATTTTTAGGTGTGAGAATTTTAAGTAGCCTCAACACTTCCGAATGCCAGTTAAGCTCTACTTCAGGAAAACTGTAACTAAATTCAGACTGCCAACACGTTTCAGTTAAAACCAACATGTTTCAGTTAAAAAAATTAGAGAACCCAAAATGAGTATTAGATGGGGCAGTACTTTCAAAGCACTACATAAATATCAACTTATGTATCATTATGTATACAACATACTCCTACCACCCATACTTGATTCCACGTAGAGTACATAGATTTTAGTAACAAATGGCTAAGAGTAATTCCTGAATCTTTCTTTTCCACCATCCACAACATCCAACACATTGAATCCAGCTGATCTACGTTCCAACCATACCTTGAATTTAATAGTTCTTCTCCATCCACTCTGCCACCATCCTTATGTCTGGGATAGCTCTGGCCATAGCCTCTTTTTTTTTTTTTTTTTTAAGATTTATTTATTTTAAAGATAGAGTGTGTACTCATTGTGCACACAGTGGGGAGAAGCAGAGGGAGAGAAAGAGAGAAAGAGAAAGAGAGAGTCCCAAGCAGACTCGGAGCTGAGCGTGGAGCCTAACAAGGGGCTCGATCCCATGACCCAAGATCACAATGAGCCGAAACCAACAGTCAGACACTCAACTGACTGAGCCACCCAGGTGCCCCTGGCCATAGCCTTTTAACTGCTGTCCCTATTTTTTTTCTTACCAAGTTCTTCATTCTCCATCCCAAAGCTAGAGTAGTCTTTCAGAACATGTCACTTCTTTGCTTAATAGCTCTTGGTAATTTCTCAGTGCAAGGTCCAAAGTCCCTATTAGTGCTTACAACATGACTTCTTTCCTCAATTTACTAAGCTCCAGCCATAATGGCTTCTTGTCTGTTTCTCAAAGATGCCATCCTAGGGTCTTCATTATGCATAGAATGTCCTTCTCCAAATTTCCCATGGCTGACTCCTTCCAATACCTTTTAAGTCTCAGTTTAGACGCTACCTCTTTGGAAAGGCCTTCACTGGCCATCACTGATCACCCTATCAAAAGTATGTCACAAAGCTCCTATTTCCCTATTTTCTATAAATAGGCAAGGGATATTAATTTCTTTCATAACATTTTCTTAAACATAATGTTTGTTCTGCCTTTTTATTGCCCATCTCCTTCATTAGATTATGAACTCCATGAGGTAAGGGATAAAATCTGATTCATTCAAAGCAGACAGTCAGCATGTAGACACAGGGCTTGGCATATAATTTGTATTAAAAAAAATTTGATAAATGACTGACTAAACCTGCTGAATGACTCAACAACTGGCACAGGGTGGGGGGCATCTGTTTCTGTGCTAATAATCAGCTGGTTTTCACCCCTACTTAACACATTTGTTTCCCCTGTATATCCACCCATTTTCCATCTTCCAACCCATCTCTATTGTAGTGATTTCATTCTTCATGTTTTCTAGAAAAAGTCATATACTACATTCATTTTAATGCTTGTCTATAATCAAAATTTGGGCTTGGGTAATCTATTCAAAGCCTGTATTCTACATTCAGTACTCCTTTAAAATATTCTAAAATAGTATCAGAGATACAAACACATTTACATCCACAAACAGATGTTGTATAACCATCAATACTAAATGTCAGAACACTTGCATCACCCCAAAAAAGAAATCCCATACCTATTAGCAGTCAGTCTCAGTGTCTCCCACCCACCCATAGCCCCCTAGCAACTACTAATCTACTTACTGTCTCTATTATTTTGGACATTTCATATGAACACAATCATACAATAGGTGGTCTTTTGTGTCTAGCTTCTTTCATTTAGTGTAATGTTTTCAAGGTTCATCCATGTTGTGGATTTAACAGTACCTCATTCCATTTTATGGCTGCCATTTAGGCCTTTTCTATCTTTTGGCTCTCATGAATTACACTGCTATAAATATTCATGAACAAGTTTTGTGTGAACATGTGACTCAATCTCTCCAGTGTATGTCTAGTTGGTATTATTTGCTCATATGGTAACTATGTATTTAACTTTTTAAGGAACTGCCAAATTTATTTCCATAGTGGGCTGCAATATTTTACATTACCGCCATCTGTGTAAAAGGGTTCTAATTTCCTTGTATCCTCATTAATACTTGCTGTTGTCTTTTTAATTATACCTATCCTACTACGTATGAAGTGGTATGTCATTCCTTTTAATTGATAAATTATATTCTACTGTAATAGATAAATTATACTCTACTGCATAGATATACAACTTGGGTTTATCCATTCATCCGATGATAGACATGAGTGTTTCCACTTTTTAGCTATTATGAATAATGCTACTATGAACATCTGAGTACTAACTTTTGTGTGTGGATGTTTTCGTGTTTGGGTACATACTGGGAGTGGAACTGCTTACAGTACTTTTTTAAATTACATCTTGAAAACAAGTATTGTAAGCCACCTAATTTTGTTCCTATATAAATGGGCACTGAGATTATATCATTACCTATATTTAGTCATACACCATAATCTGCTGTGCCCAAAACTGCTCTACCAATTGAATTACTATGCTGTATCTAAGAGTCTTCATTGTTTGCAATACAAGATATATGAATTTAAAATGTGGTATCTTACTAACAGTGATTAATACCTATCAAGTATAAATAGCTAATAGGAAGGTTCTGATTCAAGATAGCAATGTAGGAGAATCCTAAACTCACCTCCTCCCATGGACACACTGAATCTAAAAGCTACATATGGAACTATTTCCTCTGGAAAAAACTTCAAAACTAGATGAATGACTTCCTCCCACTGGGTGAAAGGGAAAAAAACCCATGTCAAAGGGGGAAGGACAGGCCAAGACACAATCTCACCATAAACCACACCCCCAGCATGGTAACCCACAATCAGGAGGGAACTCACAACCTCACACTTCTCCCTGAAGAGCAAAGGGTTTGAACCACACATCTGGCACCCCAACTTTTAAGACCTGCACCTGACAGATGAGCACCCAAAATCTCCAGCTTTGAAAGTCAACTAGAGCCTGTGACCCCAAGACTCCCAAGACTAGAGTAAACTGAGGTACAGTTTTTAAAGGGTTAGTGCAAATTGACCTACCCCAGGGCAGAGCAGAGGCAGCTGACTGAAAAGTGCCCAGACTTTCTACGAGACAGACTTACTTGCGTATCTTAAAGCACGGGCCTAAAGACATCTAATTTAACACACATCTGGGGGTGCCTACTGAAACACTCTCCAAAGATGGAGGCCAGCAAGTACCATCTTTGCACTCCTGCTCTGCTTCACTCCAGGTCACTGGTATTTCCTGTATATTCCTTGTCTGGCTCCCTGATTTTTTCAATTGCCGCCCAGGAGACACCTCTAGGTTGCTTGGCTCTGGTGACCAGTGGGGCTAAAGATTGCAGATCTTTGAGAAAGTTCTTAACCAGCTACCACCACGGTAGGTACAGCAGAGAGGCAACAGATTGAGGCACCCAGTCTTTCTGTGATGGAGGCCTATTAGCCTCTCTCATAGCTGTAGTCAGAATAGCAGGCTTCCAATTAAACACACATCTAGGGGCGCCTGGGTGGCTCAGGCAGTTGAGCATCTGACTCCTGGTTTTAAACTCAGGTCATGATCTCGCAGTCATGGGATCAAGCCCTGCGTGGGGTTGGGCTCAGCAGAGTCTTCTTCAGATTCTCTCCCTCCCACTCTGCTTCTCCCCCCCACTTGTGCTCTCTCTCTCAAATAAATAAATACAATCTTACATACACACACACATCTAAGAGCTGACTGTAATCCTCTCAAGAGACCTCAGAGGGCAGGTACGATCTTCAAGTGCTCCCTCTGCTGTGCTCCAGATCACCAGGGTCTCCCAGAGCAGAACTTGTCCACATGTCTGCTGCCCAAGGAATACCCCCTGACCATCTGGTTCTATTGCCCCCCATGGCTTGTGTTCATGGCTCCAGTTGGGACTAATAACAAATGGAAAAACAGTTCTTGGTTGGCCACCACCCCCAGGGCAGATTGCAGAGACAGGAGAAGGAAACACACCCCCAGTCTTTATGTGTAAGAGGCCTCTTTGCTTGTGTTGAAGATTCAGCCTTAGGGGCAG